TGATTGTGTGCGCGCTTCGGCACTGCAGAATTATTTCCCGCCACATGGAGCTTTCTTTGCACGGTGCAATTCTCAGCTGCAGAGAGAAAACCCCGGTGCAAAAGAGTTCCTGCCACCCGTATGTAAATTTGTTTCCCCACTATTGGCTGTTTCTAAATTATTCCCACGTGGCGGCTAGCGATTGGCTTGCTAGTCGTATAAGAAGTTTGAGCAGTTTCCGCCCAAGTTGTAGAGGACTCCACAACCATCTCGTGGGGACTCTGAGCACGCGGCAGAGTAATAGAAACTTTGTGTGTGTCTCAGAGGAGTTCAGCAGCCTGATCAACCACCAGCCTCTTCCCGTCTCGTTCGTTAAATTCTTAAGACGTATCTACAGTTTTTTGCGCGCTCATCAAGGGTATCCAGAGCTCTGTCGTGTTTGTTTAGCGGAGCCTAGCAAACTCCGCTTGTGTGTCTTCGGTGGAGCCTAGCAAACTCCACTTGTGTTTGTCTGTAACTGCAACTCAAGAAAGTTTTTCCTGCCTGCACCGCGACCACCTACGGTGTAAGTAAAACAATCTTTAATTAACCGCTACGAGTCCGTGCCTAATTCTAGTCCATCGTGCAAAAGTACCCGCCCTACTGTTGCGGGCTCCCAGCCACAGCCCGCCGCATGCCCCCGAAAGCCTCGGACTGCTCCCGGCCCGCACACTATCTACATTTTAAATACTTGAGCTGATAACTAACTACAACTGATGTCCTAGCACAAGGGGAAAAAAGGGCACATCGAGCCAAGAAGCTGCTGCTTTCTATGAACCTCGGCAGGAAATTGGGGGAGGTGAACAACCAGCTTCACTGCAACTTTGATAGTCAGAAACTGTAGAAAGAAAGATTTCATTTTAACTATATGAATAATATAGAGATGATCATGTCCCATTGACTTTAGAAAAAAAAACTGTCGGGCAATTGGTACTAGCTAAATTGCCTGCACCTTGTTTTGCTCTATTATGCTTTTTACAGTTTTTTGTTTTTCCTTGTTTTTTCCCCAGTTTTTTTTTTTCCATCCAGCCACATGGGGAGAAGAAAGGGACATGGCCCAGCCCCAATTCAGCCATGTGAGGGGAAGTAGGTGTGGCTTGGCCCTGATCTGTGAGAGGGGAAGAGCATGGGAATTTGGCAGTGGGGAAAGATGGCAATGTTAAATTAATATTAAATAGCCACTGCTTCCTCACTGCCAAAATTCCCAACCTGTGGGAATCCCACCCCCATGGGCCAGTTGCCATGCCCCCATGAGTACTCCCACTGCCTGCCTCTGGCTCAACTATTCACTTATAGTTTGCTGCTCTTGCTGGGGCTTTTAACTTCCCAGTGAGCCACTCCCTTAGCAGCAGCCTCCTCACAGCTGAAGCTACTCAACAGGACTGGCTGCCCCCCTATTACAATGTGCCTAACTTTACAAACATGTGGAAGTGCCTTTGCTGAACAGGGATGCTTTCTTGATGAGGGATATATAAAAATCTAAAGTCAAAGGAGACAATATAAACAAAATAAAACTAAAGTAAGCTGTGTTTCCCTGTTCTGCACAAATGTGTTTCAATGCCAGAGCAGGGGTGTCAAACAACTTGCAGGTTGCATCCAGCCTGCAGAGCAACTCCCTCCTCTGCTGGGCTCCTGGCAGGCTTGGGAATTTGAGGGCAGGGCCTGCCACAGAATCCAAGACCCTGCAGAAGGGAGCAATGTGCCAACACAGCCCTATAGTCATTTGCTGCCATCAGCCCTGCAGTCCAGATACAACTCAAGGCATGAGGCAAGTTGGATATCCCTACCCCTGAGTATGCATATGATAAGCTTCTTATAATGAACAATGCGATAAATCAACAGGAGCTGAGTAAACGCACTGAAGGCTAGAATTTAGCTTTGAGTCATATTTACACAGAAAAACAAGAAAACCCAGCAAAACATAACCATTTGGAGTAAAGACTGAAACTTCATCTTCTACCATCCCTTGGAAATAATTAACTTGAAAACCAGTCAATCAAAAAAAGTAGTTCCCAGTACTGTCTCTGTTTATAAGTACCTGTGTCACACTCCCTTTTTTTTTAAAAAAGGCTTTATCTACCACAGTGATTCTCAACCAGGATGCCACAGCACCCTGGTGTGACAAGAGACCCTTCCAAAGGATGCCACAGAGTACCATGCAAAAGTGCAAATGCATATACATGATTCACAAGGTAAACCCAGAGATTTCAAATAGGAATCCATATTGTCAAAAACATTCTGACCTGTTGTGTGGTCTTTCTGAGTTCTTTGCAACAGAAGAATTGCTCTATTAGTATCCCATAGTCAAAAATGTTTGAAAGCTAAGAGCTAGCATTTTTCTGAGGGATAGATGCCTTGAATCTAAAAGGTTGAGAAACACTCATCTTCCTGAAGTATTAAAGATCCAGGTAACTTAGAAACTGACTGAGGGGGAGATAAAAAAAAAAAAGACTCAATACAAAGGGCTACCGTAAGGATAACAAAAGACTGGGGATATGCAAGAATCTTTGCAATCCTCTTCCACTTATACCTTGCACCAAAGTTCACTGTAAGATTGTACAAGCCCAAGAAGACAGCAGTGGACAAGGGAAGTTGTTAAAGGTATTAAACGTCCTGACCTTCCAAGGAGCTCTACATAGGTGAACCCTGTACACTCACTCCCGTACATCCTGTTCAAAGTTAGTTGGACTCTATATGAGTCTAGGGCTGCTTCTAAGAATAGATACTTAGATGTCTGCATTAAACCCAGAGGAAAATCCACAAGGGTGTCAGATACATTGCAGAGACAGGGCTGCACACAAGCTGAATATTCACCAGAATTATACAAAGTAATCCAAATCCTCATATAAAGCATTATAAGCAAAGGACAGAGGATTTTTAAATATAATTTTAGTAAGGCACTTTAAATGGCTAGGCAGCCAGTATGATACATTCTCTAGAAAGTTATTCAAGATGGCAAATAACATAAAAGCACACCCAGAAAGACTGCCAAACTGAGCCAGAGAAAGTTCTTTCCAATTAAGAGATTATATTACAATTATAAATTGCTGTCAAAGTTATTAAAAAACAGAGAAAGAAGGTTCTGGATGTGAAATACACAAGTGCCACACAACACAATATACTTCCTAGATGTCTGTAAACCAAACAACTTTAAAAGGGAACTGTAAGTGCAGAAACTTACTATCATAGGTTAATTATTCAGCTTAATTCATTTAAAAATAAATCACACTTTCTACTTCATTAAGAAGAATTAAATTGATTCACATACTTAAGTAACAAGATGTGGCAGAGAAGCCAAATTCTAGTTTAATAATTTCTGCTAATTAATCTACAACCTTGTCTTTTTTAAAACAACAACTGAGGTCCCAATCTAGCTAGTATATAGACATGTTCTGAGAGACCCATTTATAGATATGACTTTAGATGGAACAAAAAGTAATTCCCAAGTCTCTGCCAAGTTCACAGCAAGTGAAGATCAGTTAACTGGCAGCCAGTATCCCCATATAAGGCAATGGGGGCAGAAATGTGTAGTACCTCATCTAGGTGTCCAGGCAACTCTACAGAGTATAAATGTCAAGATGGCATAGCGCACTGAACTCTCACTTTTCTCAGTCCATTACCCCAAACGGCCTCCCAGTGCAAAGTGAACAAAAAGTACTCTGCTGCACAAATCTTAGGGCACAAAGACATGGAGTGAGGTCAACATGCAAATGCCTTTGAAATAAAGACTAAATTTTGTTGAGTCTTTGTCAAAGAATTCCTTTTTATTTTTGTATTTTCCTCCATGGAAGTTATCATAAATACATCCATGGGATACCTCCTTTCTGTAGAATGGGCTAACCTCAAATATCATTTACCCTGAAAACACTCTACCATAGGAATTCAGTAAGACAGACAAAGAGGATTTATTACATAGAAGAAAAAGAATTATCCAAGAAAAACTGACCATATACTGTATTTACTCAACTAGAAGAAGGCCTCCCACAATAATTAGATTCTATATATGGAAATTTTAAAAAAAGTTATAAATGTCAAAGTATAGACTCTAATAATTGAGTGTTTGGCTAGAATTTGTCCCCTTCCCACTGCTACAGCATGGAGAATAAATCTTGGGGGTCAGGTAGACCCCCAAGATTCCCCCCTAGGAACCCCCTAGGGTTCTTTGTTCCCCCCTAACTTTTTCCCCTGGAATTCCTTTCCCTTCTTCTTACTGTCAGACCCCGCACTCCTTGAGCATATATAGAAGACACTAACAAATTTGAAAACAATAGCCTTGAAATTAAACATGGCTGTGGCAATTTGCATATAATACCTAGAGACTTTGTTTATCTAGAATTGATGCATGTTACCTTCTTTTGGAAGTGCTGAAAGTTTTAGCACTGTAGCAGCACTATGGCACCTACTTCTATGTAGTGCAAACTATGCATGATATTAGTGCAAAGCCAAAGGGCCATGCCTTACAACTTAGTTCATTGGGCTATGCTTCAGAGTCAGAGTTTCAAGCCACAGTGACCCAATAGGTCAGTATGTGTGTGTACTCCAGAAACCCAACACAAAAGATCCATGTGCTGATTAGCCCCCACTCACGACTGGAAACAAATCATCTTGCCATGAGTCCTGGAATGCTCCAAAAATCTATATGCAGATGAGGTGCAGAGCAACCTGGTCCACCTTCATGAAGGGTGGGACCACACTAACCATATGTGCCAGGCTGAGAGGGGCAACAGAGGGATTCTGGGTAAACTGTTTAGAGCCCCATTTTGTGATGTTTACCAGACTTTTAAGGTTGATAAAGAAACAAGAATAACTGGAAATGGGAAAGAAAGGCACAGCTCAATATGTATGCAATGTTGTGGCTCACCATGACTTTAAAAAGTGCCAGTGTTGAGGAGGACAGCACTCATATGCCTTATTCAGCTAACCTGCACAAGGAAGATACCATAATCAAGAAAGTGGTTTTCCCAGAGTGAGGCCTCTCTCTCTCACTCTGGGCAGGCTGACCACTGCAATTCCCCCAAGGTGGTTCTCCCAGGGTGGGACCTCTCCATTGCACTCTGGGTAGGCTGACTTCTATGAGTTTCCCTGAACACGGGAAACTTGACTGCACAATTTTGTGGCAATGGGGGACTCAGTTCACACTTCCTCTATGGCTTGCTCATTGGCCTTTCAGCTAGGAGCAAGTGAAACTGGGGGCCTCCAGGCTTGGTGCTTGCATGTAGGATGCCTTATCCTTGTGATAGGTTCCCATCAACGTATTTGCCCAATGTGGGCCATGCATTTTACAGTCCTGCTCAGTGTTGGCTACATTTAATCAACTTCATAGTTGGTTTCCATTGCTGAACCCATGCAGCCTCTGGCAGCAGTTTAATGATAAACAATGTATTTATTGAGCTTTCCTTGTATACAGTTAAGATAAGAAACATGGTCTCTCCCTAAACCTGGGATAATCCAAAGACTCAGATCATCCCATGGATAGCTCCTAAACTACCACCAAGCCAGCCCCACCCTACCCCCACTCTCCCAATTGCTCATGCTTCCCCAGTCCTCTAGTTAATGTCCCATTTCTTAGATGCCTTTTCTATTGAGGGGTTTATTTTCCTATTGCAGGCAGACAATACCTTGGGTGCTCAATCCAACAGTAGCCCCTTCTGACTGGGACTGGCAATTATTCTTGCCCTAGTACCACACACACAGAAACAAACACAATGGCAAGGGATACTTAATAGTTTAATCTATTCTCTTTTCCATAAGCATGCATCCCACAGTTCCTATAACTAAACCAAGTTCAAAATCATAACAGCACAACAAAAGCTATACAGAGAAAAAAGTGACAAATTAAGGCATCAGAACACTGGCTTTTCAACAAGACCACACATGCCACATCACTAAAACAGATAAGAAAATCTGCAGGACACCTCATGAACACCCCAAAATATGGTGGGGTTTATCAGAAGTTCTCCCCCATGTCCTTTTCTTAAAGAACTGTATGAAACCTCGAGAAAATGGAAATTATTCATAATTGTTAGTAGAGTAAAATGGGCATCTTTAGAAGGAATCTAGAATGTCAGAAAAAGGCTTCTCTAAACAGTTTAAAATAATTTCTGTGTCATACTTGTAATACAATGTAATACATACCATCTACCCATTCTTCATCAGTCAAGGGTATTGAGAAGACGAAGTCTTATAAGACATTTAAATTATAATTAATAAGATAGATGGAAGTTATGTTTAAACTCATCACCCATTCCTTCTCTATCTGAACAGTTGTAACTCACTTTTCAAAACAAATGAAATAATCACAAAAAGCAATCCTGTTTCCAGAAGAGGTAAAAAGAAAAAAAACAAACAAAATCAGCAGTCGTGCAGATTTGTCAGCTCTCGGATTCTGGTGACAGACAACTATAAAAAATTGTTTTCTAAACAAAAATAAAGCTTCTTCCTTTCTTGTATTATTCTTCTTGATTTATGAATAATCATATAGTCTCTACCATTAGGCAAGCTTAGCTTTTCATGTGGAATAAAATACACACACACTATGCATATGCAAGTCATGTACACAGTGCAAAGAAAGTGACCTTTTTCCACAGGCTGATTGTATTTTAGGAAGAGAGGACAGGAATTCAAAAAACAGAAAAAGAAGGGATAAAGAAACAATGGAGGAAGGTGGGTCATAACAAACCAATGAATCACAAGTGGAATAGAAGAGAGAACATATAACCTCAGGAACAATAAAAGTGAAAAAAAAATTACAGAAATTAGAGATGGGAATATCCAGTAGGTGTACTTATTCATCTGTAAGGAGCTGGTTTAGGAACATCCCATATTTCAATATGATCTTTGGGTTCTGTACAGTCCAGTTTAAAACAGCATAAAAATCAAGTGGGATTTCATCAATTAAAGGAGAGCCCCCATTAAGTTAAGAATATCCATTCACCATTTTGACGTGCAAGGAAAACAACTGTGAAGAGCTATTCCCATAATCGGCATGCTTAGCGCACACAAGTCGGATGAACTGGTGCCATTTTCATTTCTAAGTAAGTAGAAAACAATAGCAATTACTAATGGAAGCTTTTCGCATTAACCTTGTTACTCTCACTAAGATTCTTGCAGAGTGGTAAAACATGAAATTGCTACACTTTTCCTGTGTCAGTTAGTTTTAGGAACCTTTTCAGTTTATTCTTTTTTAAAGCCTTATTGCATGCACTAACAGAAGTTTGAGAAAAATGTAAAATAAAAATGTTTCTTTGACCATCATGTCTATTACTGATTAGTAATCACTCTAATAAGAATTTGTCAAACAAAATGAGACTCCACACATTCATTCCCTCTAGGCTTCCACAGTTTATATATACACACACTGTCTTAAAGGTTCTAGACATAACCACCTCAAAAGTTTCTTATCACCTAGTTCAAAGAGTAGTCTAGTGATTTGTATTTACAGAGTGACATTACAACACAGTTCAAAAATCGTTCATACTATTTTTTAGCTCTTTAAATATAAAAGATTCAAATAGTGAAAGAGTGACCCAAAGTAAAGTTTTCTATTGTCTGGGGAAAAAACCAATGGGTTTTCATAAACTGGTCCTGCACAAACTACTGAAATAAAAAAGTAACTGAAAACAAACAAAATAGATATTCTACAACAAATGAAAAAACTTAAGTGGTAGTGTTATTTGGTGATTTCAGCAGTGCAACAGCACACTGGAGATGGTAAGGGGAACAAATACCTACTTCCTTTGTGACATTCTAAAAAGCTATTCAGTTAGCATCAAGTATTATGCTAGCCCATAAGCTTCCTGTTAGTTTTTGAGATTTTAAATTCCATTTTTCTGGGGCTGCTTGGTTTGTTTGTCTTCTTCTCCAGTATTGTGAGAGATCTCCCAGAATCTGGAGAAAACACCACAAGGAAGAATGAAATTAACTGTACACCACCCCCTCACATAACACAAAGTAAGTACATTCAGGGTGGATAAAAATCAATGATAAAAAAAACAACAGATTTTTTATTTAAATCAGATTTTTTTACTTAATCATATTTTTTGTTAAGATGCTTTAAAAAAATAAACCTATATAGTTTTAATTTAAGATATGTTTGAGCTCAAAGATAACATCACTGAATAGGGATTATAACTTCTAATTGTATACTATTTGAGACAATATATTCATGTAACCTTTTTGGAAAAGTGTTATAAATAGGTTACAACAGGCCACGGACTATATTACAGGGATTCCCACAGTCTCCTTCATAGATTAGTAAAGATTAAAGAAAACCACTATACACAATGGGACTCAGTGCTCAGTCTAGATGATCCCATTAAGCATCTCTGTGATGCTTAGTTACAGTTCTCAGACTGTGGATTTGTCTCTCCAGAGACGACATCCTTGTTGACAGCAATATATGGAGATGAGAGATGAACAGACCTCATTACCTACCCACCCACCCTATTGTCTCTCTGAAAGTTTGTGTACGCAGAGTCAAGCCTTTACCTCTCTCTAAAAGTGCAGTTTCAAGAAATTAAATAAATAGAGGACTGTTGGAGGTGGAGCAGATCTGGGTAAGGAGTCAAACCTATCATGGCAGCAGGCTTGCCAGGCTGTAAAAGAGACCCTGTTTCGGAATATTTTAATGAAGTTTATATCAAAGAACAAGAATGCACTTTTTGTAGAAAACAATGATTACATTACACTGAGGCTTTCTGACCAGTTATTTAAATTCTGATTTAATCAATTCAATTTAAATCAAATCCACCTGGAGCACACTGAAATATAGATGAGAAAACATTGTTTTCAATCTTAACTTTTAACAGAGGGGAGGACTTCTGTGGAATCTTTTATTAGGCTGTGTAATTGGGAGAGCTGTTGGAGAAGCGTTTGGACAACAAGGGCCCCTCCCTCAGGGGTATCTGCTGTGTTCCCTGCATCTTTGCTTTTCAACTGCTGTCCCTGCCAGCTTCCCCTGACCTCCCTTTGCCATTCAACTAGACAGTGGGCAAGCAATTTAAAAGCCAGAGGGGACATGAATCTGCTATGGGGAAAGCCTCTGCACCCCCAGCCCCTCCGGCTTCATAGATGCTAGGGTCAGAAGGGACCTCAATGGATCATCGAATCTGACCCCCTGCCAGAAAAGGTGCTGGGGTCACGTGACCCCAGCCAGGTGCTTGTCCCGTAGGATTGTGTGAGTAGGCAGCTATTTGATCCGGCTTTGGATCCGGCCGCTTCGGATGCCAGGGATCTGATCTGGAGCTCTGGACCAGGTTCCTGCTTCAATCCGGCCAAAGCGGCTCCAAAGCTTTGGAGCTGAGATTCGGCCATAGGGTATAATGTAGAATCAATGAACTATCTATAACTTTGTTGTTAACTGCTGACAGGCAAAACTTGTGACATGGGTGCTTGTGCAACTGTGTCCATCTTGGGGCACAGGGGGAGGCCCGGCGGGAGAGACACTACTGCAGGCCTGGCTGCTAAGTTACTGTGTTACCAATCAATCATGATTTGCTCAGGATTCAATATACAGTAGCTGGCTACTAATAGCTATTAGATAATTAGCAATGATTAACAGCTACAAAACCACAGACTAAGGAGAGGAAATAATCCATGTAGACAATCAACTGTCCCAAGACAGAGACAGTCAGTTGCACAAACACCCATTTCACGAATTTTGCCTGTCAGCAGCCAGAGGTGCAGGGCCCCAGAACCCAGACTCCCCCTGCACCTATCTCCTTGACAGCTGGCAGGCTTTGTGGCCGCAGCAGGGGCTACCATCCCTGCAGCTTTCACCCTGCTGCACCTTAACACACACAGTGTCACCCACGTCACAAGTTCTGCTTGTGTGCAGCTTGAGGTACAGTTCCCCCCCAAACCCCTGCACCTATCTCCTTGAACCTTGACAGGCTTTGCGGCCTCAGTGGGGGTCACCACCCCCACAGTTTTCAGCCTGCTGAGCCTGAACACACACGGGGTCATCTATGTCACAAGTTTTGCCTGTCAGCAGCTTGAGGTGCAGTTTCCCCCAAACCCCTGCATCTATCTCCTTGAAACTTGGCAGGCTTCGTGGCCCCAGCACGGGCTACCACCCCTGCAGTTTTCATCCCCCTGTGGTGTAACACATACACGTGACATGAGTTTTGCTTTCAAGAATTTGTGGTGCA